GATGACTCTGTAAATAAAGGGCACTTGTCACCAAGCCTCAGGACCTAAGTTCAATCCCTAGGATCCACATGATAGAAGGCAAAAGACTCCTGTACATTGTCCTCTGACCTCCACCCCTTTATCAAGGCATGTTCATGTCTATGTCTGTCTGTCTGTCTGTCTCTCTCTCTCTCACACACACACACACATACAAATAAATGTAATTTTAAAAAAATTATTGAATTATCAGTAGGAATACAAAGATGGTCAATATACTATTCTGTACAACCTTGTCTATATCTGAAAGGTTTCCTAATAAATTGCAGTTAATATTATTTTCCTAGCTCTGATAGCCACTATACCTTTGTAATGTATAATGCCTGTGGAAGAACAGGGTACTGAGCACTTCATTGCTTTCTTGATTAACTTCTTGTGAATCGAAAACCATTTCAAAATAAAAGTTAAAACAAAAATGTTAGGAAACCCCCCATTCTGGTATATCTTATCTTACCTTTCTTCTTCCACCAAACTAAACTGTAAAACTGGACACAGAACTCTATGTAATGACTGGAGCATTATCTAACAATATCATAGTGTTGCATTCAAACTAGGTATACTGTGTCCCAGGAAAGTTATAGAATTGGGAACTTTCATCAATAAGACAACCAACCAACCATTATAAGACTCTGTAAGTTTTCTTGTACCACTGAATTTTTTTTTTAATTTGCTAGAAATTTACCAAGTAAGATTGTTCAATTCTAAGAAGAGAGCATACAGTTTTTTATAAAGGAAGCAGAGACAAGAAAAACTTGATGTGTGTCGTTAAGCTGACACTAGTTTTTCAAATTTAAATTGGACACCAATTCCTCAAATAAGTCTCAAATTATTAAAATAAGGGAGAAAACTCCAAGCAGACTGTAAAATTACTAGCATATTCTGGAAAAAGAAGAAAACAAAGTCCAAGTTATAGATCTTATACTTTGTCTTGTTTGTACACTTCTATCTCTGCTTTTTTTTTTTAATTTTTTTTTTAAGATTTATTTATTTATTATGTATACAGTGAGTGTTCAGCCTGCAGGCCAGAAGAGGGCGCCAGATCTCATTATAGATGGTTGTGAGCCACCATGTGGTTGCTGGGAATTGAACTCAGGACCTCTGGAAGAACAGCCAGTGCTCTAAACCTTTGAGCCATCTCTCCAGCCCTATCTCTGCTTTTAATTACAGCTGTGTATTCATTACTTTGTCAGCACAAAATAAAATCCAAACTCCATTTCTTCTCTTTCTATTTAGGCATTTCAATAATTAATTTTAACTGTCACCTTCATTGTCAATTTAACTGTCAACTCCATTAGATGAATAAACACCTAAAACATTTAGGAAAGCATACTTCTAAGTATGTCTGTGAGAGCATTTCTAGAGATGACTGACACACAGAGCAGCAGCTACGGAGAAAAACCCTGCCCTCAACATAGGGGCACTTCTAACAGGCTGGGGTGGTGGTGGCAATGCATGGCAAGATGGAACAAAAGGTGGAAGGAAGCCAGGCAGTGTGTGCCAACTCTATTCTTCCTGAGTGAATGGTCTACTGCTGCTGCCACCACCTGGACATCAGACTCCAGTTCTTTAGCTTTCCATACAGACTCACACCAGTACCTGCAGGGGACTTCCAGGCCCTCCTCAGCCTCCAACTCGGGCTGCATCACTGATCCCTCTCGTTCTTACTTCCTACTTCTTGGACTGAAAAGCTACTTGGAATCTGTCTGTCTAAGCATGCACATGGCCACTGTTGAACTGACTAGACAGACTTCAACTGTGTAAGACAATCTAACAAAATTCTTTTATAAATCATATATGTATGGTTATGTATATTCGAATTTTACTCCTCGAGAGTCCTAATAATTTTAGACAAGAACAACTCAAATTTTTATTGAATGCTCATCTTTTTCATTTATTATATATTTCTCCTTTGGTTTTTAAAAATAAACTTTTTATTTTGTTTTTCGTCTATTTTTTTTAATTTAATTTTTTTTCTCTTTTTTTTTTTGATTTTTAGGCTGGCCTCGAACTCACAGAGATCTGCCTGGCTCTGCCTCCCTGAGTGCTGGGATTAAAGGCGTGTGCCACCGATGCCCAGTTCTAAAATTTTTTTGATATCATAATTACATCACTCCCCGCTTCCTTTTCTTTCCTCCAACTCCTCCCATGCAACCCCTTGGCTCACTCACAAATGTATGGCTTCTTTGTTGTATACATACACATACATTTGTGCATGCATGCATGTGTGCGTGTATGTATTCCTAAGTACAACCTGCTCAGTACGTATACTGTTCATTTTATGATCTCAGGACCCTGGATATTGGATAATCAATTGAGGGCTCTTCCTGAGAAAGACAATTTATTATTTCCAGTCTCAGTGTCCCAACTTACCTGTGACTCCTTGTCTAGATCTGAGGCCCCAAGCTTTCCCCTGTTTTGGGGGGAGGGAGAATGTTTGTTTGTTTGTTTGGTTAGTTGGTTGGTTGCTTTTTCAAGACAAGGTTTCTGTATGTATCCCTGGCTGTCCTGAATCCCACTCTGTAGACCAGGGTGGCCTGGAACTCAAGAAACTGGCCTGCCTCTGCCTCCCGAGGTGTGCACCACCATGCCGAGCTTAAACATTTTTTTTAGATTTATTTTATTTTATGTATATGAGTATTCTGCATGCATGCATGTATTGCACCATGTGTATGTCTGGTGCCAAAGAAGGTCAGAAGAAGGCATCAGATCCTATGGAACTGGAATTACAAATGGTTATAAGTCACTATGTGGGTGCTGGAAATTGAACCTGGGTCCTCTGCAAAAACAACAAGTGTTCTTAACCACTGTGCCATTTCTCCAGTCCCAATTCTTTCTTTGGTTTTTTGAAATGGGGGTCATATATTGCAGCCAGGCAGGCTGACCTTAAACCCTCAATCCTCCTGTCTCCATCTCTATGGTGTTGGGATTATAAATACGTACAACACTTAGAGCATGCCTACATACAAGCGCGTGCACACACATATTTTGAGACAAAGTCTTGCTGTGTAGCTTTGGCTGATTTAGAACTTACTATGCATACAGAATGGACTAAAACTTGCAGCAATCTACCTGCCTCTGCCTCCCAAGTACTGAGATTACAGTGTGTGCCACCATATCTGAATAGCTACAAGGTTCAGTACTGGGGATCAAATTCATGGCTTCACGCATTAAATTATTTATCTGGGTCTATGAGATGGCTCAGTGGGAAAAGGTGCATATTGCCAAATCTGACAACCTGAGTTCAATCCCAAGGTTACCCACGGTAGAAGAAAAGAACTGACTCCTAAAAATTGTCCTCTGACTGCCACATGTGTGCTGTGAACTTGTGCAAGCCCCTCCAACACACACACACACACACACACACACACACACACACACACACACACACACACTAAATAAGATAATTTAAAAAATACAACTGTGACAAATCATATCCCTGAAAGATGGCAAGAACAGTTGATTCCCTATGAAATGCTCTTACAATGTGATACTAATAGTCCTGCCTTCAAAGGAGGGGTTTATGTCCACTTCCCAATTATCCTAACCTATACAGACTTTTATAACTTCTCAAAAACATAATGAAGTAGCCGGGCAGTGGTGGCAGATGCCTTTAATTCCAGCACTTAAGAGGCAGAGGCAGGCGGATCTTAGTAAGTTCAAGGAGGATCTTAGTAAGTTCAAGGCCAGCCTGGTCTACAAAGCAAGTTCCAGGACAGCCAAAACTGTTACACAGAGAAACCCTGTCTCAAAAAACCCCAGAATGAAGTAATACTATGTGACTTCCAAGCTAAGTCAAGTAAATCATCTGCCTGCTCCCTCCTCTCTCAGGATGTTCTTGAATCTAGTAACCATGCTGTGAGAAAGCCAAGCAGTCAGAGGAGAAGTATAGTATAGGTGTTCTGGCTAACAGCCCAGGCTGAGGACTCGGCCAAGTCAGCATTCACCACCAGACACAGCAGTGAGCAAGCATTCAAATGATTCCCGTTCTTAGCCACTGAGTTACACTCCTAGCTATCCCACCTCATACCACGAAGACAAGCAAACCCATCAAGAATCTTAATCAGGGGCTGGAGAGGTGGCTCAGAGGTTAAGAGCACTGACTGCTCTTCCAGAGGTCCTGAGTTCAATTCCCAGCAACCACATGGTGGCTCACAACCATCTGTAATGAGATCTGGTGCCCTCTTCTGACCTGCGATCATACATGCTGTATACATAATAAATAAATAAATCTTTAAAAAAAAAAAAAAAAAAAAAAAAAGAATCTTAATCAAATTGCAGATATGTAAGGAAAACAAACACGCCTGCCAGGTGTAGTGACGCACGCACACCTCTTATCCCAGCACTCAAGAGGCAGTGAAACGCTGTGAGTTTAAGGCCAACATGGACTACATAGTGAGATGTAGGCCAGCTAGGGCTACAGAGTAAAACCCTATCTCAAAACAAAATGGATGGATGGATGGATGGATGGATGGATGGATGCTTTTAAAAGCTACTAAATCTACAATAACTTATAATGAAATCAATATGTCATACAAGTTCATAAACACATTACCACTATAATATCTTAACAAATATTTCATAATACAAAAAGTATATTACCCACTTTTGGATGCTTTGTTTTTACCAAGCAAAAAAGGTTAAAAATGTAAAGACAGTTAACTAGTTAATCTAACGAAAAACAAGGAGAGTGCTGGAAAGACAGCTCAGCCTTTGAGAGCACTGGCTGCTCTTCTAGACCCAGGTATGATTCCCAGCACCCACATGGTAGTTCACAATAATCTATAACTCCAATTCCAGGAGATCCATTGCACTCTTCTGGCCTCCTCAGGCACAGGCACACACATGGTACACAGACATACATGCAGGCAAAATACCCATACACATAAAATGGAATTAAAAACAGGAAGGAAGGACTTTTCCAGCAGTTAATAACCCACATTTCCATTCCCCAGTCTTTCACCTACCTGTCTTAAGGTTTCTGAGGACTGTGGCCCACCAGTATTCCAGTCTGTGGCTATGTATCAAGATCTTGGTTGCCAAAGTGTCTGCACTGGCAGTCTTCCCTGGAAAATATTCCTTAGGCTCCAAAATCTGAAAACTGCAAGGAAAGGAAATTCTCAATATAGATATCTCTTTTCAATTTCAATCCTTCATAATCTACCCCATAAACTGAAAAGGCAGTTGGCAAGATGGCTCAGTGGGAAAAGTGCAAGCCTGGTGACTGAGTTTAATCTCTGGAACCCACAGGAGAACTAGAGAATCAACTCCCCACAAAGTTTTCTGCTATCTTCTACACGTACACTATGGCATGCACCCCATCATACACACACACACACACACACACACACACACACACACACACACACACACACACACACAATAAATACATGAAAATATATAGGTTGAAAGAAAATCAACAGTCTCTCAAGGTACATAGAAACAAGTTTCACTAAAACTGGGAGTCATGCTAAAATAGGGGTGGATACTGTAGATTCAAGGTCCAGCTTCACCTTTTTTTTTTTTTTTAAACGATTGTCTCCCTATGAACCCAGGCCAGTCTAAAACTTGTGACCCAAGTACTAGGATTACAGGTGTGCCTATCTTACCTGGTCCCATCTCTACTTTCTAAAGAGCTACTACTGATCCTAAATAAGTCATGGATTTTCTGTGCCTGATTCTTTATTACACAAATTTTCATGTGGTGGAAACTGAGGAGATCGGATTATAATTTGGGGGGTCTGGGTCTAGACTCAGTTGTCAAACTACTCAGCTTTAAGAGGTCTGATACACTCCTAGGTGCAGTTCTGTCTTTAAAAGAGAAGATTAAATTAGCAATTCCTAAAATCCAGAAATTCACCTAAACAGGCACCAGGTATGACAAGACAATATGTATAAAGTTATCAACTGTGCTTAATATGCGATTGCCTTTCCTAGTTTCCCAGGTTAAATTCTTCTTTCATTACAGTATGACAAACAACATAGTAGTTATTTTTTTAATGTTGTGACCGAGTCAAAATCCATTATTGGGATTATAGGCATGAGATACCATACCCAGGTCTGGACTTCATGGTATGCTCCAAGCCAGCCTGAGCTACAGAGTGACAACCTGTCTCAAAATATCAAGCAATGCATGTCTATGATCCCATCACAATGGAGATGGAGGCAGAAGAATTAGGAGTTCAAAGTCATCCTCAATTCCACAGTGAATTCAACGCCAGTCTAGGCTACATGAGATCTTGTCTCAAAACAAAACAACAAAAAAAGTTATGATTTCTATTTTAGAGTTTCTACTGCTGTGATAAAACACCATGACCAAAAAGCAACTTAGGGAGGTAAGGGTTTATCTCATCTTTCAGCTTGTAGTCCACCATCTGGGGAAGTCAGGGCAGGAACAAGGCAGGAACCTGGAGAGCGGAACACTATTTACCGGCTTGCTTCCCATGGTTTGTTCAGCCTGGAGTCTTATACCATGAAGGACCAATGGCCTAGGGGTAGCACCCCCTGTAGTGGGCTAGACCTTCCAACATCAATCATTAATCAAGAAAGTGCACTGTGCACAGGCTTGTCCACAGCCCAATCTAGTGGAGAGATTTTCTCAACTGAGGTTCTCTCTTCTCAAACAACTCTGGCTTGTTTCAAGTTCACAAAACACTAGCCAGTACGGAATCTGAAAGTAAACATTTTTAGGGCTTTAACCCAACAGTAAATTTTTTAATGTGTAGTCTAATTAGCCACATATATCACACTGGAATAAAAATATGCTTGTGTTAAGAAGAAATACAAATTCACCACAAATGATATAATGGTGTTGTTTCTGAATAAAAAGGCTGGCAGCAGCTAACATTTACTGGGTACTAGTTGACAGTTTCTCCTAGACAATTTCTATGAGTTAAATCATTTAATCCTGATGGCTCATAAAATGAGCTATTAGTAATATCATTTTATAACTAGGAAAACTAGCCAGGCGGTGGTGGCGCACGCCTTTAATCCCAGCACTCGGGAGGCAGAGCCAGGTGGATCTCTGTGAGTTCGAGGCCAGCCTGGGCTACCAAGTGAGTTCCAGGAGAGGCGCAAAGCTACACAGAGAAACCCTGTCTCGAAAAAACAAAAAACAAACATACAAAAAAAACCAAATAACTAGGAAAACTGAGGTACAGTGAGTTTAGAAACTTTCAAGATTACAAAACTACTAGAAAGTGGGGCTGAGACTGTTTCTATTTTATTATTATGTTTTTCTAGATTTTTTTTTTTCCTAATGATAGTGGGTTGATGGGGAGGATCTGGAAGGAGTTGGAGAAGGGGAAATTTTAATCAATATATTGTATGAAAAACATATTTTCAATAAAAAATAGTTGTTTGATCTTAAAAAAATAACAAAATAAAACAGATCAAGATACCTGACTGTAAAGTCCTTTATTTCTTTAAACTAATTTTGTTTATGAAACTCAGATTTTTGCCAAAATTAGAAACATTTGCTGCAAATAATTTTGTCAACATAGAGATTATTATTATTATGTGGGTTAAACATAAATACACAGTGCCCTCCAAGACTTTTTAATATGGCATTGCAACACTAAACTGACACACGGAGTAATCCAGTGGAAGAGTATGTATTAATTTACAAAGTCCTGGGTTCAAACCCCAGCACCGCAAAATACTACTAATGATGATGACACTGGGTATTTTGTAGTTTTCTTTCTTTCTTTCTCCACTCCCCACCTTTTGGGTACTGAGAACTGAATTTAGGGCCTGTCATTGAGCTGTATCCCAGCTCTCTTTTATCACTTTGAGTTTAGGGAGGTATACAGGAAGGGCTCAAATGGCTTTAAAGGAAAAATGAAGTAGAGTTACAGGCTGAAGAGCACCAACAACTTGTTGTGCACAGCCATCTACTCTCAGCTAATGTTATTTATGAAAACAGAAGAACAACAGTGAATTTCATTCCAAAACAACTTCAGATGTGATTTGTAAATGAGTTTTAGACAACAATGTGTTTCAGTTCATTTCTTCACTGGCCTAATTCTTGAACAGACTAATGTTTCTGACATTTGACTTTCAACTCTAACAGCTGCATTATAAACTAGACTAAATACAGTAATAAACCACAGAGAAATGACAACAGGTACAACAACTGCTTCCCAGATATGTAAAAACCACAGTACTGGTTAGAATAGCTGACATGTATTTGACCAAACTTAACATCCAAAGTAGACATTTAGAGTTCTAGGAGAATCTCACACTCTCCCAGGGCAACATTTTCCTTCTGCTTCTGTAACAGCCAAATAAATGAAGCCTCTTTACTGTCTTGTGGCTGTTTTCAAGGAACTAACTATCCCAACGCCAGCCCAAGAGACAGAATGTACGAGTGAAAGCCAGGCATGGTGAAACATGGCTGGAATCACAGGGCACAGGCAACTGAAGGAAGAGGACCAAAAGCTTGAGGCCAGCCTCCGAGTGAATCCCTGTCTCAAAACACACACATGCTCACAATCATGCACATGCACACACATGCAAATACACAGACACATGAGTGCATGATCTATTTGACATTTTAGGATTAGAATAGACTAGGTGTTATATGTAAAAGAAAATATGAAAATGGACGACTTTTAAAAATAGTGCCAGGGCCAGCTGTGGCAGCACACACCTTTAATCCCAGCACTTGGGAGGCAGAGGCAGGCAGATCTCTGAGTTCGAGGCCAACCTGGTCTACAGAGTGAGTTTCAGGACAGCCAGGGCTACACAGAGAAACCCTGTCTCAAAAAACAAAACAACCCCCCCTCCCAAAATAAAAATAGTATCAGAAAGGAAAAATATCTAAATTTCTAAAATCACCATTAGAAACACTGTGTGATGGCTAGTTTTAATCAACTTGTCACAATCTAGAATCACTTGGGAAGATAGTCTCAATGAGAAACAGTTTATATTAGGTTGGCCTGAGCTCATACCTATGAGGGATTTTCTTAATTAGGTTAATAGATGTGGGAAGACCCACCTTGAATGTCGGTGGCACCATTTCATGGGCTGGGCCCTGGACTAAAGGAAAAGGGAAGGGCCAGCAGCACCCTGGCCACCATGCATGCAGTTCATTTTGCTCCAAGCTTGATTTGAACATGACCAGGTACTTTAATTTCTGCAGCCTTGGCTTCCCTACTATGATGGGCTGTAATCTGGAATTATAAGCTGAAATAAACTCTTTAAGTTGGTTTTGTTTTTGTTTTTTTTTTGGGGGGGGGTCAGGTTATTTTATCATAGCAGCAGAAATGAAACTAGAATATACTGACAATATGAACTCATAAGACACAACTAAGTTACAGACTATTGGCTCAAAGATTTGGCTTGCCAAAATTTCCCCTATATTAAAAAGCTGTATCTCCACTGTAACGTTTTATACTACCTCCAAGATTAAGAGTCTTTCACTGGCCAGGCGGTGGTGGCACATGCCTTTAATCCTAGCACTCAGGAGGCAGAGGCAGGTGAACTCTGTGAGTTCTAGGCCAGCCTGGTTTATAGAGGGAGTTCCAGGGCAGCCAGGACTATACATGGAGAAATCCTGTCTCGAAAAACCAAAAAAGAAAGAGAGTCTTTCACTGCTAGTTGTGCTGGCACACACCTTTAATCCTAGTACTCTTGATGCTGAGTCAGCAAGACGACCAGGCTAAAGCCTATCTGGGCAATCTAGACCAAATAGTGAGACCTTATCTCAAAAACTACAGCAACCAAGGATCTCTAAACCCTCTAAACGTGAACACCAAGACTGCTTACATTCTAGGTAGGTCCATCCTAGAAACAGCTCAGAGAAGACCAACTAGCCTAAGATTTAAGTTTTATTCAGACCTGAGTAATAATTTTGGTAGGTATCCAGATTCAGTGACTCTGTTTCAAAAATCAAGTTGAAAGACACCTGTTATCAGCCTCTAACCTCCACATGCATCTGCACACACCTATGTGTACACTCATGAATCCCCACACACACATATACACATAAAAAATAAAGCAAAGGATCTTTAAGATTTCATAGACTTCACAATTTTCTTTTCCTAAGAAAATCCTAAATTTCCTAAGTCTAGGAACTTGATTTATTTTCAAAAGGAAAAC